TGATTTCCTTCATGGTAGATCTCTAAGTGTAGTTCTCAATGGAAAGGAATCAGCAAGACATCCTATTGGGGCAAGTGTTCCACGGGGAAGCGTGCGGGTCCTTTTTGTTAGGGAATTCTACTTAACGACCTCTTCATCTATCCCAGAATACATCATATGCGGGACACTTTTACACTGAATTTAAATTTATAAAAAGAGAAAGAAATGCCAGTGCTCTAAGCTACTCAATCACCAGTGAGAGCTATATAGTTTGGGGGAAATAGAGGGAAGAAACTTTGCCCCTGAGAAAACGCAAAGATGACGTCTTGGCACCAGAGGTAATGCTGGAAAAGTAGTAGGTAAATGGCCCCCTGGAAAAAGAATTTTTAACCCTTTGGGGGTAAATTTTGACACCAAACTAACCATGAAAAAACCCTTTGTAAATTTTTGAAAACGGGGCAGCCAGGAAGCTTACAGCACTTCGCCGTACCCCCCTTGTTTGAAGTGGGGGTTGCAAGACCCTGTACAGGCAAAGTCGCTCACACCTTGGTTCCCACTTTCTTGTTTGCCCGCCCCCCCTCTCATCTGCACGCTTGACAGGTAGAGAAAAGGAAAAACGGGCCATCTCTCGCCTGGACCCATCCCGGAAATCTGTATTTTTTGCAGAGCCTTCAACTAGGAGGGATGTGGTGGCCTTACTGTTTGTACAAAAGGCCAAAAATTTTTTAAATACACCTTGGATCCCTTCGGGACGCGTGAAACAACTTTTATGCCACAAACCCGGGGAGGAAAACAGCAAATTCATCGGCTGTACCCTTCTCCAGAAATCCTCCATTGAGATCATATATACCAGGATGACTCGAGTATGGAACCTTTGTACGCATAATGATGTAACGAGTAAAGTCAGTTGTCAAATAAAATGGGGCCCCCAGATGGCTCCAATTTAACCTGTTCCCTACTTGTATTCCATAACAATAAAAAGCTTTTTTAAAATGAGTGATGAGGTAACAGCTCTTAGCTTGCCAATAAAGTTAGGAATTTTAACCTGTAAATAGCTTGTAATAAAACTAGGATCCTTAACCTTGTAAACCCTTGTAAAAAAAAAAAGGAGGAGAGGAGAGAGAGAGAGAGGGGGGGAGAGAGAGAGAGGGGAGAGAGAGAGAGAGAGGAGAAGAGAGGAGAGAGAGAGAACGAGGGGAGAGAGAGAGAGAAAGAAGAGAGAGAGAGAGAGAACGAGAGAGAGAGAGAAGGAACGAGAGAGAGAGAAAAGGAAACGAAGAGAGAGAGAGAGAGAGAGGGGAAAGAGGGGAGGAGAGAGAGAGAGGGAGAACGAGAAAAGAGAACGAGAGAGAGAGAGAGAGAAAAGAGAAGAGAGAGAGAGAGAGAGAGAGAGAAGAGAGAGAGAGAGGAGAGAGGAGAGAGGAGAGAAAAGACGAGAGGGGAGGAACGAGGAGAGAGAGAGAGAGGGGAGAAGAAGAAGAGGAGAGAGAGAGAACGAAGGGGAAAAGAGAGAACGAGAAAAGAGAGATCGAGGGAAAAGAGAGAACGAAGAGAGAGAGAGAGAGAAGAGAGGAGAGAGGGAAGAGAGAGAGAGGAGAACGAGAGAGAGAGAGAACGAGAGAGAGAGAGAAACAAGAGAGAGAGAGAGAGAACGAGAGAGAGAGAGAGAGAGAGAGAGAAGAGAGAGAGAGGAGAGAAGAGGAGAGAGAGAAGAGGGGAGAGAGAGAACGAGAGAGAGGGGAGGGAAAGAGAGAGAGAGAGAACGAGAGAGAGAGAGAACGAGAGAGAGAGAGAGAGAAGAGGGGAGAGAGAAGACGAGAGAGAGAGAGAGAACAAGAGAGGAGAGAGAGAGAACGAGGAGAAGAGAGAGAACGAAAAGAGAGAGAGAGAGACGAGAGAGAGAGAGAAGAGGGGAGAGAGGAACGAGAGAGAGAGAAGAACGAGAGAGAGAGAACGAGAGAGAAGAGGACGGGGGAGAGAAGAGAGAACGAGAAGAGATGAGAAGAGGAGAGAACGAGAGACAGATTGGAATTTTCTTCTCCAAGGGGATGTTGACAACCAAGGGGAAGCCTTCCTGGACACATCCCTTTAATCTACAACAAGAAAAAACTTCCTCACTGGGAATATGTGACGAAGCCTACGATCAGCCTTGGTTTGGCTTTCGCTGTGAGAGGCTGCCATGCTAAGTACCAAAACAGGGAAAGAAAAAAGAGACACTACCCCCTAAACAGGGAAATTGCAAGGCAAGCCGTAGGCATATGGGTGATGTTCAAAAGTGGGCCATTGCTAAATGGGAGGTGGACACTAAAAGAAAGCTTGCATCAGGTAGGGTAGGCCCCAAAAAACCTGGTGGCCCCTGGTAAAGGACAGGACAAGGTTATCTGCCTTGATGAACTTATTCCACCTCTAAATCGACAGGAGGGACCAACCTCTACTAGTAGTCAAGAGAAGGCGGACCTCTTTGCTGAACACTTTGCTACCAAAATGCAAGTTCCTGATCCAGCAAGGGACCCTCCTTGGCTAGCTGCAAAAAACTGTGTCAAAACTGTCAGTGGTGACAATAAGGCAGGAGGAGGTGCTTTTCCCCTTACTTAAATCGCTGGACCAAGAAAAGGCTGTGGGCCCCAGACAAGTTGAGCCCAAAAATTGTTGAGAAGATGCGCAGACCAGCTAGCAGCACCTCTAACTCGCTCCTTTCAGTACTGCCTAGTACAGTGTAAATGGCCCTCTCTATGGAAAGAGGCAAATGTACTCCCTGTTCACAAAAGAAGAGCAGAGCAGAAATCAGCAACTACAGCCCAGTGTCACTCTTGTCAATCACTGGTAAGATCCTCGAGACAATAATCGCAAGAAAAATTTGACAGAGTTTTTTTGACTACCACTCACTACTTTGTGATCGTCAATATGGCTTCAGGAAAGGTTACTTGCTGCTGATCTGTTGTTAAACCTCTCCACTAAGTGCACCCGTCACTGGATGAATCCAAAGTCAGCTGTGTGGTAGCACTGGACATTGCTGGCGCTTTCGACCGGGTGTGGCACCAGGGCCTCTTAGCAAAACTTCAAGCACTGGGAATTGCAGCTCTACGCTATGTCTCCTCAGTGATTACCTTCATGGTAGATCTTAAGTGTAGTTCTCAATGGAACGGAATCAGCAAGACATCCTATTGGGGCAAGTGTTCCACAAGGAAGCGTGCTGGGGCCTTGTTATGGAATGTCTACTTCAACGACCTTCTTCATCTCATCCCAGAATCACATGCATATGCAGGGCGACTGTACACTGACATTCACTTATCCAAGAGGAAAAAATGCCAGCTGCTCTAAGCTACATCAATCACCAGCTGAGAGCTGTATCAGCTTGGGGAAATAGATGGCAAGTAAAATTTTCACCTGAGGAAAACGCAAAAGATGATCGTCTCTAGGCACCACGATGGTAATGCTGGTGCAGTAGTAAGGATGAATGGGAGGGTGTTTGGCACCTGGAGAAGAAGTTGATATCCCTTTGGGGTGAAAATTTGACTCCAAACTAACCATGAAGAACCATGTTGTATATCTTGCAAAAAAAGGCAGCCAGGAAGCTTACGCACTTCGCTGTATCTCGCATTCTGCTTGACAGTAGGGGGTTGCAAGATCCTGTCGAGGCACAAGTACGCTCACACCTTGGTATGCTCCCCCCTTTCTTGGTTTGCCCTGCCCCCCTCTCATCTGCGACTGCTTGACAGAGTAGAGAACAGAGAAGACGTCTCATCTCTCGCCTGGACCCATCCTGGATAGATCTGTCATTTCAGCAGAGCCTTCAACATAGGAGGGATGTGGGTGGCCTTTACTGTTATTACAAGGCAAATATTGTCAAAAAACCACACTTGGATCCACTTCGAGGACAGCGGTGAAAAAGCTTTTATGCCACAAGACGGGCAGAAAAACAGCAACTTCACTCTGGCTGTACCCTTCTCCAGAACATCACTCCATCTGAGATCATACATACCCAGGATGACTCGATTTTGGAACACATTCGTACAGCATAATGATGTCAAAAAAAGAATAAAGTCAGTTGATCAAATGAAAATGTGGCCCCCCAGAATGCCCAACTTCATCCTGTCCCCCTACTTGTATGTCTCATAACAATAAAAAGCTTTCAAAAGGCTGGTTGGGAAAAGCTCTTAGCTGCCAATAAAGTTAGGAAACCTTAACCCGTTTAAAATAATGTAAAAAAAGAGGGATCCTTAACCCTTTTCAAACCCGTGAAAAAAAAAAAAAAAAAAAAAAAAAAAAAAGAGAAGAGAAGAGAGAGAGAGAGAGAGAGAACGGAGAGAGAGGAGAACGAGAGAGAGAGAGAGAGAGAACAGAGAGAGAACAAGGGGAGAGAAACGAAAAGAGAGAGAAAGAGAAGAGAGAGAGAGAAGAAGAGAGAGAGAACGAGAGAGAGAAAAAGAGGAGAGAGAGAGAGAGAACGAGAGGGGAGAGAGAGAAAAACGAGAGAGAGAGAGAGGAGAGAAGAGAGGAGAAGAAAAGAGAGAGAGGAAGAGAGAGGAGAGAGAGAGAGAGGGGAAAGGGAGAGAGAGAGAAGAAGGAGAGAGAGAAAAGAGAGAGAGAGAGAGAGAGAGAAAAAAAGGAGAGAGATGAAGAGAGAGAAAAGGGGAGGGGGGAGAGAGAGAGAGAGGAGGAAAAAAGAGGAGGAGGGGAGAGAGAGGAGGAGAAAAGAGAAGGAGAAAAGGGGAGGAGGGGAGGGGAAAAGAGGAGGGGAGAGAGAGAGGAGAAAAGGAGAGAGAAGAGAGAAGAGAAAAGGGAAGAGAGAGAGAGAGAGAGGAGAGAGAAGAGGGAGAGGGAGAGAGGAGAGGAGAGGAGAAGGAGAGAGAAGGGGGAAAGGGAAGGGGGAGGGGGAGGTGGTGGTGCCCTTTCTTGCAGCAAGAAGGCATTTTCACTTTTTTAAACCCTACATGAGACTGGAACAAAAAACCTAAGAACAGGCGGAACACAAGAATGTCTTCCAGAGAGAAGGTAATTCAGGGTAAAAGAGCATGATTGTCCCTTGGTGATGTCAGGAAGGGGTACAACAAGGATTGGGGTTTAGGACCGTACCATTTTTGGTTTATGTGAGTGACCTACAGATGCAATCTAATAAATGTACTTATTTGTTAATGATATAAAATAATGAGAGAATACAAAAAAGACGAGGAGGATGAAAGGGTGCAATGGTCTGGACAAACTAATGGTTGGGGACAAGTGATTGATGAATTTTTAATCTCAGAAAATAGGTTATGAAGACTGGGGAATGGGTCAGAAGACATAGATTATAAGTTTAGGGAACAGAGGCTGCAGACCTCATTCAAAGAACAGGACCTGGGAGTAAGCATAGAGTGCTTAGCACATTGCCAGAGGCTCACATTACCCAAATAACCTCTGCAGCCAATGTTTGCCTGGCAAATCTCAGAGAAGCCTTCAAGAATCCCTACAGCCATTCCAAGTGCTTTATACAACATACATCAGGCTAATCTTGTAGTTCACACCACCAGTATGGAACCCACACCTGAGGAAGGATGATAAGAAACTGGAGAAAGTGTAGAAATATGAACTAAGACTAGTTCCAGAGCTGCAAAGAGAGACTAAAGGAATTGAACCTAGTGACCACAGAGGACAGAAGGACCAGGGGAGACATGATAACATACAAAATACTCAAAGGAATTGATAGATAAGGAGGGGCAACTGTTTGAGAGGTGGAAAATAGGTACTTCGAACACAGATGGGTGATAAAAACACAAAAGAACCACAGGGATGTAAGGGAGTATTTCTTCAATCTAAGTGTGGTTGGGAAGTGAAATGGCCTTGATGAATCAGTAGGGGAGGCAGACTCCATACACAGTTTTAAGAATAGGTGCAATATAGCCCAAGAGGCTAGGAAAGAGTGAATCTGGCAAATGACCAGGAGCTAAAACTTAACCACTAAAATCACATATAGCTGAGTACACTTACCCTATTGTTCTGAATGGCAACTCGTGGACAAAGATAAGCCACTACATCCATCTCTAGCTGGAAAAATGCTGTGGTAAGTTCACATGTGGTACACTCTTGTTCTCCATCACAGGCATGTGGAGCCAGCCAAGGTGCATTCAGCATGTCACAGATAAGTGCCATCACAGATACACTTACTTGACCATCAACACCCTGGTGCTTCTCAACTTCTTGAACTTCCATCTGTCAAATAAAATTAGTTCTTTGTCTGCATGTAAAAGGAATATCAGGAATAATTAGGAATTGTTTGTTGTACATGTACTAATGAAAAGTACACCCTTTCAACAGTAAATTATAAAATAGTGAACAAAGAGATATATTTCATTTTTTTGTTATTTCATTCATCCAAGAAGAATTAATTTTGTCAAATGAGGCTTATACTCACCATTAAAAACATAATTCACTTTCTCACCTATGTTAATCTGGTACACACATTGCTATACTAGCTCCATTTCCTAGGTCTAATCTTCATTATTACCCTAAGACTACCTGTTTAAACAAGACATCCAGCATAAGAACAAAACACGTAAGATTAAGTTCTGGGTCTGAGTAGTGATCCTCTGGGTGCTCTGAGGGAGACCTCTCGTCCTCAGAAAGAGCTGAACTACTATGAGAATCATCCTCTACCACAGGCTCTGAAAATGAAAAACACTCCCATAAGTATCAGAGGAACACAATAAACTGAACCTTTATCTTGCTTCTCCATTTGACTCTGATACATATATTTGTCTTTCTTACCTAAAACACTTGAATCTTGTCGTCCAGAAGTACTTGTTTTTCTGGTGGGTGCTGATGGATTGCAGAGTGATGACACACCATCACTAAATATTGCTAGTAGTAAATTCATTGGAATTACAATATTCAGAGATGTCAAAATCTGAAAGTAAACAAACATTATTAAAGGAAATGGCTCTCACTAGTAGGTTAAAGTTAAAAAGTTGAAAAATAAAAACATGATTCGAATTCAATCAACGAACTAAAAAAAAAACATGATTTGGATGCAATCAACAAACTAAAAATGGTGGAACAGTACAGGTAACAACACCTCTATGATGCCACTCATGTGTTTGCATCTGCAAAACAGCTTCCACAAAAATTCAACTGATTTCTATGGGCCCTGTTCATTTGTACCATTGCTGATTTTTCAGATGCTCATATATCAAGGACCCTGTATAAATGCTTCCAGTTTCCAGTAGGATGCAGTAATTATTAATGATACAAGCTAAAACAAATATTAAATACCGTATGTAATTTTTTTTTTTCAACAAGTCGGCCGTCTCCCACCGAGGCAGGGCTACCCAAAAAGAAGAAAATCCCCAAAAAGAAAATACTTTCATCATCATTCAACACTTTCACCTCACTCATACATAATCACTACCATATGTAATATATAAAATAAAAAAAAAATTACCTGAAGCCAAGACAAAGTTTGTTCTTGGACTGAGCCTGTAGTGTTGGTAAATCGAACACTAATGAACTTGTACATCTGAGTTGCATCAAATCCCAGTGGACTCATATCAGAGTCCAAAAGCTTGCTGGAAATATAAAGAAAACATTTTTTAAAAAGTTGAAGATAAAAAGTACATATGTATTCTAGTGGATATGCACATAAACCAGATTTGGTATAAATTTGGTTCTGGTGTGGGATAAAGAAAGTGTAAACATCATCTGGGCTGGAAACAGGTATGCAAAGTTCATAACAACAGCATAATATATACAAACCAATTCTAAATAGTCAATTTTAACAATGCACTGGGAGATGGAAAACAATAGCTCCAGGTCTTTCATACTTCTGTGCCTCATCAGGAGCAATACAATGTTGCAAGAATTGTAACAAGTAGGTGAAATAGACCCAGGGGCCAGATATCCACATCCTTTTCATGCATCCCCTCACCCTCAAGTGGAGTACAGGATACCCTCTGAGATTTACAGAAAGTAGTAGACTGCATAATAACTGAGTCAGATGAATACCAACTATTCAAGCACTATTATGAAATCATTTTTACTGTATGACTGTTTCATTATTACCTAAATTTTGTGTGGAACTATAAGTAACATAAAAAGAGATGTATGTTACTCATTGCCACTTCATAACAAAGTATTGCTAGTTCCAAAATGTTCTAGGAGTCCCTCTGGATGTGTTGGTTGGTACCCTGCTACCCAATACAAAATCATCCTACATATTCTTTAACTCATATCTGTCATCCCTGCTTCACTGCAGAAAATTATCAGAGTGGGCTTATGGATTCCTGAGTATTTGCGTATTCCTAGTTATTCCTGAGTATTTCTCGATATTCCCAAATATTTTTTTAATATTCCTTATCTCATACCCATCAACCCTGTAACACTACGGAAAGTTATCAGAGTAGGTATATAGATTCCTGAGTATTGAAGGATTCATGAGTATTTCCACTTATTTCTAAGTACAGTGGACCCCCGGTTAACGATATTTTTTCACTCCAGAAGTATGTTCAGGTGCCAGTACTGACCGAATTTGTTCCCATAAGAAATATTGTGAAGTAGATTAGTCCATTTCAGACCCCCAAACATACACGTACAAACGCACTTACATAAATACACTTACATAATTGGTCACATTCGGAGGTAATCGTTATGCGGGGGTCCACTGTATTTCTGAGTATTCACTATTATTTCTAACCTCATAACTGTCAACTCTGCTTCACTGTTTCAGGTTACCAGTGTGGGTTTAAATACTTTTCCTTTCTCCTGATGCCCCAGTGGCTTGTTGAGCATAATACATGGAAAGTGAATGCTGATCACAACACTGACTGGAGGACAGTGTGTCATCTATAGCTTTGCAGCACAGCAGTAATCCTCTCTACACTATTATGCATTAAGCACCAGTATACAAATCAGGTGTTGCAGTGCAGTGCTGTATGGACTAATTTTTTTTTTTAATAAACAACCTGTATCCCGCCAAGGCAAGGTTACTCAAAAAAGAAGAAAACCTTATAAGTGTTTCTTCTTTTTACATATACAATAGTACCTCAGGTTACGAACAGCTCAAAACTCGAGCAATTATGTAAGTGTATTTATGCAAGTGCTTTTGTAAGTGTATTTTTGGGGTCTGAAACAGACTAATCTAATTTACATTATTTCTTATGGGAACAAATTCGTTCGGTATCAGCACTCAAACAGCCTTCTGGAATGAAAAAAGTTCATATCCCGAGATACCACTGTACTATATTATACTAAATATATATACTATAAACATTATAAATGGGAAGCACCAGCACGCAGACCAGATTTTTTTTAACACATCGGCCATTTCTCACCGAGGCAAGGTGGCCCGAAAAAGAAGAAACACTTTCACCATCACTCACTCTATCACTGTCTTATCAGAGACATGCTGATACTAAAGTTCAAAAACTGCAACAGTTTTTTTTTTAATAAGTTGGCCATCTCTCACTGAGGTAGTGTGATGCAAAAAAAGAGAAAGAAACACTTCCACCATCATTCAACATGTTCACCATCATTCATACATAATCACAGTCTTTGAAGAGGCACTCAGATACAACAGAAATGTACTGTACAAGAAATGCTCACAAGCTAAACAGAAAAAGAACATTTATGAAACTTTGGTCCCTGAAATTATTGTGCTCACTATATAAAAACTCAAATACACTAAGAAGTTAAATATTTACTATATTCATGGGGAAAATGCTAAGAATGTAGAGGTCACACAGCACCTTAGAAATGTGGCAATCAGGTCTGAACCAAGAAGGGTAGCAGCAATTCCTTTGATCAAGAGCTCTTAATCAGTATCAAGGCAACCCCTTTAAGGAGGTAAAAAGTTCAATAAAGTTGCAAAACTTACCTAAGTGTAATTTTTAGTTCAGGAAGTTCTTCTTCTGGTATTTCATTGTGAATGGCTTCCATCCAATGAGGCATGACACGATCCCAAACTTGAACAGTAACTAATTCATAGGGCACCAGGCAAAATAACCGGTTGAAACCTTCTTTGATATGATCAGTTCGGGTTGCTAGTGTGTCCCTGGCAAGACAATGAAAATAAGCATTAAGCCTCTGAATGAAGCTTAAGGTAATACAACATGAAATTCAAAAGATACACACATGTTGTTGCAGATAAATAATACACTGCAATAAGGAAGTAGTAGGTTGGTAGACAGCAACCACCCAGGGAGGTACTACAGCCCTACCAAGTGAGTGTAAAAAGGAAGCCTTTATTTGTTTTACATAACGGTAGGATTGCAGGTGTCTTTTTTCCGTCTCATAAACATGTAAGATTTCAGGTACGTCTTGCTACATCTACTTACATTTAGGTCACACTGTACATACATGTACACGTTTATTGTATACACACTCATCTGAGTTTTCTTTGATTTTATTTTAATAGTTCTTGTTCATATTGCTTTTCCTTTCATATCCATGCATGTTGTAAAAGTCAACTAAAATACCGGGAGCAATGGGCTAGTAACCCCTTTTCCCGTATAGTCTACTAAAAAGAAAAAGAAGAAAACCATCAAAGTGGGATGTTTGAATGTACATGGATGTTGTGCGAATGATAAGAAAGAGATGATTGTGGATGTTATGAATGAGAAGCTGGATGTCCTGGTTTTCAGTGAAACAAAGCCGAAGGAGGTGGGAGAGTTTCAGTGGAGAGAAATAAATGGGATTAGGTCAGGGGTTTCAAATAGAGTTAAAGCTAAAGAAGGAGTAGCAATAATGTTGAAGGATAAGTTATGGCAGGAAAAGAGGGAATATAAATGCAGGAATTCAAGGATTATGTGGTGTAAAATAAGGGTTGGATGTGAAAAGAGGGTTATAGTAAGCATTTATACGCCTGGAGAAGAGAGAAGTGTAGAAAAGAGAGAGATTTTGGGAAATGTTGAGCAAGTGCATGGGGAGTTTTGAACAAGTGAAAGAGTACTTGTGGTTGGGGATCTCAATGCTAAAGTGGGTCAAAATGTTGTGGAGGTAGTAGGTAAATTTGGGATGCCAGGGGTACATGAAAATCGGGAGCCTTTAACTGAGCTATGTGTAGAATGAGGTTTGGTAATACGTAATACATATTTTATGAAAAAGAGAATAAGTATACAAGAAATGATATAGCATGTAATGAAAGTAGTTTGTTAGATTATGTATTGGTGTATAAAAGGTTGATGGGTAGGCTTCAGGATGTACATGTTTATAGAGGGGCAACTGATATATCAGATCATTTTTTAGTTGTAGCTACAGTTAGAGTAAGAGGTATATGGGACAAGAGGAAAATGACAACAGCAAGTAAGAGAGAGGTAAAGGTGTACAAACTATGAGAGGAGGAGGTTAGAGTGAGATATGAACAACTATTGGCAGAAAGGTGGGCTGGTGCAAGTATGAGTAGTGGGGGAGGGGGGGTTGATGAGGGTTGGAATAGTTTTAAAAAAGCAATATCAGAATCTGGGGCAGAAGTTTGTGGCTATAGGAGGGTGGGTGCAGGAGGAAAGAGGAGTGACTGGTGGAATGAAGTAAAGGGTGTGATAAAAGAAAAACGTAGCCTATGAGAGGTTTTTACAAAGCAGAAGTGTTATAAGAAGAGCAGAGTATATGGAGAGTAAAAGAAAGGTGAAGAGAGTGGTGAGAGAGTATAAAAGGAGAGATGATAGAGTGGGAGAGGCACTGTCAAGAATTTTGCAGAAAATAAGAAAAAATTTTGGAGTGAGATAAACAAGTTAAGAAAGCCTAGGGGGCGAATGGATTTGTCAGTTAAAAACAGAGTAGGGGAGTTAGTTGATGGGGAGATGGAGGTATTGGGTAGACGGCAGGAACATTCTGAGGAACTTTAAATGTCAATGAAGAAAGGGAGGCGGTAATTTCATGCACTGGCCAGCGAGGTATAACATCCTTTAGGAGTGAAGAAGAGCAGGAAGTGAGTGTGGGGAGGTGTGTAAGACATTATGTAGAATGAAAGGAGGTAAAGCAGCTGGAACTGAAGGGATCATGAAAGAAATGTTTAAAGAAGGGGGGGGGATATAGTGTTGGAGTGGTTGGTATTTTTGTTTAACACAGTGGACCCCCGCATAACGATCACCTCCCTATGCTACCAATTATGTAAGTGTATTTATGTAAGTGCGTTTGTACATGTATGTTTGGGGGTCTGAAATGGACTAATCTACTTCACAATATTTATTTATTTATTTATTTATTTATTTATTTATTTATTTATTTTAAATTTGTGCACACATACAGAGGTACAAAAAAATACAGATAAGAGCAGTATGCCAAAGCCACTTATACTATGCATAGCATTACGGGCTGGCTTAAAATTAACTTAAGATTAATTAAGCAATGATGAAGTCAGTGATAAAACATTAATGTAAACAGATTACTATAAAGCACAAGTGAGTATTACAAAGACAGGTCATATGAAGGATTCTGTTAGGTAGTGTATTTAAAAAATAATAAAGTTAGATTGGGTTTTAGGTTTAACATTTATGTGATATAATTGTGAGAAACATTTAAGATATACAATTTATAAGGTTCAGTTATTCAGTATGTATTTGGTTTTGGGTGAGTAAGTGATCTTTGAGTAGAGACTTGAATTTATAAACAGGTAGTGTTTCTTTTATATTTACAGGTAATGAATTCCGATTTTAGGGCCTTTTATGTGCATTGGTTTTTGCATATGTGAGATGAACACGAGGAACATCAAAGAGTGATCTGTGCCTTGTGTTATGGTCATGTGTTCTGTTGAGGTTGGCAAGGAGATGTTTGGGGGGAGGGTTAATATCAGAGTTAAGTGTTCTATGTATGTAATGGGTGCAGTAATAAGTATGGATGTTTTGTATGGTGAGTAGGTTTAGTGTATTGAATATTGGTGGAGTGTGCTGCCTGTAGTGAGAATTTGTTATCATTCTAACTGCAGCCTTTTGTTGGGTAATTAGTGGTCTGAGATGGTTAACTGTTGTTGAGCCCCATGCACAAATTCCATAGGTGAGATAGGGGTAAATAAGAGAGTGATATAGGGCCAGGAGGGCTGACTGTGGAACATAGTACCGTATCTTCGATAGTATGCCTACAGTCTTGGAAATTTTCTTAGAAATTTGTTGTATATGTGTATGAAATTTGAGTCTATTATCAAGGTGGATTCCTAAGAATTTTCCCTCTGTTAGCTTTGTGATAGGTGATCCGTTTATCATTATGTTAAGAGGGACATCTGTAGCTCCTGTTACCAAACTGAATGAAGTAGGTTTTGTCAATGTTTAGTGTAAGTTTGTTAGTCCTCATCCAGGTAGATATTTTCTGTAATTCGGTATTTACAGTATTGGCTAGTGTGACTGGGTCGGGTGAGAGAAGACGTATGTAGTGTCATCTGCAAATAGTGTGGGTTTGAGTAATTGCGAAGCATTTGGAAGGTCATTTATGTATAGGAGAAAGAGAAGAGGGCCAAGGACACTTCCCTGTGGGACACCAACTGTAATTGGTTGCGCAGAAGAGTTTGCCCCATTTGCGTACACATATTGGCTTCTGTTGCTGAGGTATGACTTGAGGTAATTGAGGGAGTGCCCTCTTATACCATAGTGTGACAATTTTACGTGGAGCAAGTCATGGTCAACTGTATCAAAAGCTTTACGTAAGTCAATGAAGATCCCAGTGGGACTTCTTTTTTCTCTATTGCAGTGTATATATGTTCTAGCATGTGTATAATAGCATCATTAGTATTTTTATTAGGCCTGAATCCAAATTGGCAGGGGTTGAGTATGTTTTGGGAGATAAGGTAGGAGTAGATTCGTTTTATGAATTAGTTTTTCAAAGATTTTTGAGAGAGGGTGTAAGTTGGATATTGGCCTATAGTTATTCAACTCTGTTTGGTCTCCCCCTTGTGGATTCGGGGTGACCCCTTTCTATTTTGAGTACTGTAGGGAAGGTGGAGGATTCAATGGATTTGTTAAAGAGTGTTGCAATGATTGGAGATAGCACTTGTGACACTTTTTTATATATAAAGGGTGGTAAGGTACTTAAATCTCCTGCCTTGTTTTTTAGTGCATTGATAATAAGGGAGACTTCGTATGGGTTAGTCGGAGCTAGGAACAGTGTGTTCGGGTAGTTGCCGGTGAGGTAGTTATTTGGTGGGGTATCTGAGCTTGGGATTTTATGGGCAAGGTTTTGTCCTTATAGGAACAAATTCGGTCAGTACTGGCACCTGAACATACTTCTGGAATGAAAAAAATATCGTTAACCGGGGGTCCACTGTATATGTATAAAAGAGGGGAAGGTACCTAGGGATTGGCAGAGAGCATGTACAGTTCCTTTATATAAAGGGAAGGGGGACAAAAGAGATTGTAAAAATTATACGGGAATAAGTTTACTGAGTATACCAGGAAAAGTGTATGGTAGGGTTATTATTCAAAAAATTAGAGGTAAGACAGAGAGTAGGACTGCGGATGAGCAAGGAGGCTTTAGAGTGGGTAGGGGATGTGTAGATCAAGCGTTTACATTGAAGCATATATGTGAACAGTATTTAGATAAAGGTAGGAAAGTTTTCATTGCATTTATGGACTTAGAAAAGGTATATGATAGAATGGATAGGGGAGCAATGTGGCAGATTTTGCAAGTATATGGAATAGGCAGTAAGTTACTAAATGCTGTAAAGAGTTTTTATGAGGATAGTGAGGCTCAAGTTAGGGTGTGTAGAAGAAAGGGAGATTACTTTCTGGTAAAAGTAGGTCTCAGACAGGGATGTGTAATGCCACCATGGTTGTTTAATATATTTATAGATGGGGTTGTAAAAGAAGTAAATGCTAGGGTGTTGGGAAGAGGGGTGGGATTAAATTATGGGGAATCAAATACAAAATGGGAGGTGACACAGTTACTTTTTGCTGGTGATACTGTGCTTGTGGGAGATTCTAAAGAAAAGTTGCAAAGGTTAGTGGACGAGTTTGGGAGTGTGTGTAAAGATAGAAAGTTGAAAGTCAACATAGATAAGAGTAGGGTGATGAGGGTATCAAATGATTTAGATAAAGAAAAATTGGATATCACATTGGAATGAAGGAG